AAAAAAAAAAAACAAAAGTGAACACACCTTAAGACGATCGGCCAAGTGTTTGAGGCCCTTCGCCTCTTTTAAAGCACTGTTAGCTACATGATTGGACAAATCTCTTTGAACGGGACTCGGAACATCAATGTCCCTAGTTTTAAGAGAATTTGGAGTAGGATGCCTAATGGGCTGACCATTCTGGTTCTCATATTTCTTTCTGTGGTTCGGTGCACTTTGTCCATCATCATTATTTTCTTTCTGAGTTCCAGAAACAATCTCTGTCGAAATTTTTGCCGAGGCTAAAAGGGAGTGTGATTTCCCATTCCCATTGCCTTCTGCCCAGTTGCTTCTCTTGGGAAATTTCTCATTACTGTGCTCTTGATGTATATGATGCTTCTTATCCTGGATTTTGGTGACGTATTTTTCATCGTGCGCGAATTTCTTTTGATTTTGTCCTTTAATCCTCACAATTGGAGTTCCTCCAGCATTATCTTTTGGACCAGTGAACTTCTCACCCTTTCCTGGATCACCAGATTTTGCAACAGTCATGTTTTTTCTACTCCTTAGTCCCTCCTCATACAAATGGTCACGGCCCAAAGTATCATGTGAAGAATTATGAACTCCATGTAAGTACGCTCCAGAAGCACCATTCATTTCTTTCAAATGTGAAGAAAGTCCCTTCCCAGACCTATTCTTCTGTGATTGGATGGTGGTGTTTGCCTTTTCTTCAACCTTGCATTGCTCAGACAAATTTTCCTTCTTCACCATTTCTCGTCCATCTTCACCAGAAAGCATCCCTGAACCAATTGCAACGGCAGTTAGAGAACCACCAGTATCATGAAAATCATCTTTCCTTACAAGTTTATCTTTATTTGACACGAACTTAACAGCACTAGGATATCTTAAAGGAGATGAAGAAACTGATTCAACTGGGGAACCTTTAACTTCTTGGCCTATGATTTTGTTCTTATGAGAGCTGGACACCATAGACGAGCTTGAATTAGCAGCAACCGAAGGATTTACAGTGGTTCCGCTCACATTGCCGTTGTCTTTTACCCCAGCATTGAAAATTCTAGTTTTCTTTTCTTTCCGTTGGTCACTTAGGTCTTTCGCCTTCCTCTTTCTGAGTGAATCCCTATCATCACATTTTTCATGTGTTGCTGCATTTGTACCAGGAAACACATCCGATTTAGGTTCACTTAGATCCTTATGGCTGTTAGGTTTGGGCTTATCGATCTTTGATGTGCCATTTGAAAAACTAGTAGTTGGACGAACTGCTTTTAAAGGTGTCCCCCCAGTGTCAGAAGTCCAATAGTCGTCATCATCATGCAATCCCTCACTTTTCATTCTTTTGAAAGCTCTAGAACCTGTCATATCAGCCTCTCGTTTGGTCTTTATTTTAAAAATGGTGCCTACACATGTTATTCAAAAATGAACTTTAGAAAGTTCAAGAAAAAAAACTTCGAGAAGCTTAAAAATAGAGTTGATAGATACAACTCGATGTGCACATTTGAGCTCCAGTTATAAAAATAAAAAATAAAAAATAAAATAAAATGTGCAGGGTACATAATGATATACCTTTATCAGAGGAGTTGGAAAGTGATGGTTTTTCTTTCATATGATCACTGTACTTCTCAACTGCAAAACCCGATTTTCGAGAAGGCAGATTCTTTCTGCTGTTCATACTGCTTGTTATAGCAGATGTCCCAAGGCTCTTCTTGAATGAGCTTGAAGAATTGGAACAATCTACATCATTCAAAAGTACTGCCTTTGCCAATCCGTGTTTTTTCTTCCCACTAAATGGGGCAATTTGAGAAACAGGATTTTGGTTCTCTAGACCAGGATAGCTAGCATCAGCTGAGGCCATTTGTGCATAATTCACAGCAGAATTACTATTAAGCTGACTGTGTTGGGTCTCTGAAGTAAGGCCTGGAACTGAAGCAGTAGGATGGTAAAGGGCTCTTAGAGCATTAGTTGTCACCTCCTGAGGGATGCTGCATCGATTCATACCAGGCCTATAAATTGCAGAAAGTGTGAGTTTTGTATTGAAGCATTTCGCACATAAACACAAACAGGTTTCAGGTTAAGGATTATCAGTCAAGGATTAGTTTGCTAGTAAAAAGATAAAGTCTATTTGGGAGAGCTCTTCAAATGGTGGTTGATGACATGCACTTTTGAACAAGTAGTTCATTTAATAAGTTCATTTTAACGAAGCAATAGTTGGAGACTTTTTGAGAAGCTCCTTTAAAATAAATCCATTTTCTAAAAGGACTTCTACAGAAATACTCCCAAGCAACCCCAAACTGATCTCGAGTTCCCAATCCCAGTTTGTGAACCATAAAGGAGACTTTACAAAAATTACCGGAGGTGTAATCCAGTCACAACTAAAGTTCAATTACATTTCAAAATACAAAAAGGCCCTTGAAATTTGTTTCTCTTCTACAAATTGCATGGGTTACTTGTAATTCTGAAAAATATTTACATTTTCGTAATTAACCCAAAAATAATAAATCATGAAGAAGGAATAATAGTGAAGGTGGTTAAGACTTACAGCCAGGTAAGCATCCGACAAAGCCATTTATCAGGAAGACTCGAAACGTTTGTTCCAAGTGGTAGGAGTCTCCACTTTTCACACTTGTCGCATGAGACCCAATCTTCCTGCACTAAAGGAACACTTCCAACTGGAGCTTCAGAAGTCATCCCATTTCCATTGGGAGGAGCAGATTGAGAAGCAGACGTGGTATAGTTTTCCTGGACTTGTGGTGGCTTGTGAGAAAAGTTTATGTCAAATTTTTTCCCCTTTGACATGTCATGATCATCACTTGAGCTTCTTTTCTCAACAACCACGGGATTGTTTAATCTTCCTGGAGACTTCATTTCACCTGAGACCGATTCCTTGTCTTCGTCTTCAAATTCAATGTCCCCGAAAAAGTCCCTATATCTGTCCCCAGGTTTTTCACGATCCTTCTGTATATCTCGCATGTCATCTTTAGCTGAAGAGACACCTTGAGTGCCTATAGTGTAAGCCACTTTTGGTGTTTTCTTGCTTCCAGTGAATGACTTCTCAAGAGCAAGTTTTGCAGCTTCCTCACACTGTCTTCCTTTACACACTGTTGACTCGAACTGGTCAACTAGTGGGCAAGCTGCATTGTTGCTGACAAGAGTCTCTCTTTTAAATTCAGAAATATTGCTCAATGAGCCCGGCTTTCTGCTCAAATTCTCAAATCCACCAACAGCTTGGGCAGATTCATTATTTCCGTTTTTCTGATTTGCCAGTTTCAAGGAGAGAAGTCCACCCTTCTCAGACAACTTTAATTTCTTTTTATTGCACTTATTAATAAGAGATCCATTTTCTAACATCCCCGAACTTTCTATAATATTCTTGTTCACTGTCTTAGTTTCAACCCTCCCTCCAGGCTTGTTTTTTTCCGTCAGACAGATGAGATTCTCCGAAAGAGGCGATAAAAGTAGTCCACCAGGAGGGGATATCATAATCTGCTCCAAGACACCAGCAATTAGGGTTTTCAAAATTTGTTCACAAAAGTTCAAATAATTCCATATCGAACCCAAAAGTTCTCACTAGACGTGGCCACAGGCCGCCCGGCCCGGTCAAACCCGTTGACCACGGGTCCGAAACCGGACCGGATTTTTGACAGGCCATTTCAGGGCCATTATTTCATGACCCTGGCCCAGCAGACCGGGCCGCGTCCGGGCCAATGACCCCTTTTTTTATTTTTAAGTTTTTTTATATTATTCTATATTTTTTTCTTTTTAAATATGACGACCCAACCCTGACCCGGTACGGACCTGGCACAAGCATAGGTCCGTGCCGGTTCTAGGTCCGTGCCAGTTCAGGGTCCATGAAACCCAAACCCGGAGGCCCGGGTTTGGCCATGTCTAGTTCTCATAGATAATTTAGCATAACAAGATTACCTGTAGAATACTGGTGGGTGATGCCTCTGGCACCTCCTTAAGTTTACCAGATTGCTCTTCTGTAGTTGTAGGACTGTTATCCAGCGAGGATGATGGAGACACTTCAAGGCCGAGCCCACTATATATTTCAGCATTTTTCTGTGTCGTCAAACTTTTAGAGCCAACCTTTATTCGGACCTTCAGGGTTCTCTGATCAGAGGAATTTACAGTCTTCTTAATGTCTGCACTTCTGAAGTTGGATTTTTCAACATGTCCAGACTGTAAACTGACATTATTGCCTTTCAAGTTACTTCCAAGTCGTTCTGCTATTCCTGAAGCAATATGGGGCCTTTTCGAAGGAGAAGCACTTGATGAAACGAACGATTTTTGTATCTGATAGACCAAACGATAAAAAGGAAAAAAAACAAATATTTCATGTCCGGAAACATTATAATTCAATTGTACCTTTTTCTCTTTTTTCTTTTCAAGAAGAACAAGTAAAGGAAAGTACATGGACTTGGATATACAAGTATTTACCTCCACATGTGGCGTTTGAGGGGATTTCGATGAGTCATAATTATGATGAGCCTCTGATGGACTCTTGGTATGAGACAAAGTTGGTGACCTCTGATAAGTCGGTAAAAATGAACCATAGCCACCAAATTTCGCCCCTGTTAAGTATTCAAGTTGTTTCTGATCAACACCTCACATTATCAAACTACATTTTATTCAGTCATCACTTCACGGGATTGTCCACATACTTCTCAACTTACCCAAATTCTCAGCCGAAACACCACCTTCAAAATCTTTCTGGAAATGCCCCAACACGTTTTGGAGCTTCTCCTCCTTCAAGTGAACAAAAAATGAGTAATAAGAGAGCAGAATTTAATAATAATGAGAAAAATAACAATTCCCATGCCAATGCTGAGACTTTATTAACTACCAAAATCAAGTAAAATCACCACAAAGTCTTCCAAATTACACAAGTCTATAGATAGAACACACAAGCCACAACTTCCCATTCAACAATAGTAGCAAATCATTCACAATAATATAGTACGAGTGATCTTGGCTTAGTTAAGAAGTCCATCAATACATCTCAAAAGCTGATTAAGACTGAATCAATATTTAAAAAAAAAAAACATAAAAGAATAAAAAAAATGAGATAATCGATCAGCATGGAACCACCTAATCAAGAGCAATTTACTTTGTAGGGTCATTGAGATTACAAAGGTCAAATTGAAGAAGTGATTTAGACACCATAACGTGTCGACGAATGTTTCACATCCTTACAATGTAAGAGAGGGCAATATCAGGGTCAATGGTGGAATCTTGAGGTTCATTCTGAGAACTCCGAGCTTCTCCTTCTTCAAGCTCGGTCTCTCCCATCTCTAATCCCGAGCCCATCCCCTTCCTTCCATCTCTAATGCCCACATGTCATTAAAAAATAAAATCAATAGAAAATAACAATAAAAACACAAACTTTGGTAGAAAATTATGTTAGTTATTCAGCAACACATCACAAAACCCAATCCTGCCACCATGAATTGATGTGC